GAAATCTCGCCAGATTGGAAATAAAAATGGTGCTTCATTTAAATTACTTATAAGTTTGAGAGTTGCATTGGGAAATGGTTGTAATCTATAGACAGTTATCGAGTCTTCGAGAGCATAAAAGCCTGTACGAAAAACCAAGAGGTTGATCAAACTATATTTCTCTGCCTGTTGGGTGATTATAGACAGAAATTCCTGTAGATCCGAGTCCATACTATGTAGCCACACAATGATTGGCGCCTCTCTCATGCGATGTAGATTCTGGGCCAAGGTGCTCAGCAGGGTGGCATCTCCAAGATCGGCCATGCAAACCAGAGCGAGGGCCTCGCTATTAAAGCGCTGCTTTATATTAATTGTGATTCGTTCATCTAGGCGAAGACTAGGTATTCCCATGGAATTGATATCCTGCAGAGGGCAGTTGCTGTCCTGCTGGCGTTTCATAAGCAACAGCGTATCCACGGATCTTTCCCTCTGAACTCTCTCAATGATGTTGTTGATCAAATTAATTCCAAAGTTTCCTGGTTCTGCTAATTCTGGAAAACTCTTCAAGCCACCAGCTACAAGCAGCAGCAGAAACAGGCTAAAGCTAAACGAGCTAAAGGCTAACATTCTGGGCCAAGTATTAAGAACGAACTGAGACATGGCTAGGACATTTTACAGCTCCTAATAAGTTGTACATTAATCAAATTGCTTTGAAGTTCAGTTTAATCGAAGATTGTGGAGGGAACACGGGCTTTATACTCGGTGTCAAAACTCAGAACAGGTGAGATAATAATCAGAGTGTTATTATAACAAATAAAAACAAATAAGAGTGTGCTAGGCGGGAGTGCCCGCTGGCAGATACTCTAAACGCAGCGTTGAGCCTTGTACATATGTACATATACACACACATGTAAATATTTTGGGTTTAAAAATGACATAAAAAGGTGCCTTTATACCAAGGCTCTAGGCTCTAACTGTGTAAAATTAGGATTTTTTTAATTTGGAGCCGAACGAAGGAAGGTATTCAAACAGGAAAATATCCTGAATCTGCGTGTACAATACGAGGACCCACAATGTGTGTATGGCCTGTGTAGATCTTATAATTCTCGAGTTATGCTTACGAAACAAATTGTGAAAATCGATTCTTATCGATAACAAGAAAGTGAAACAAGACAGCAACAAAAAACTATGAAAATAGTTCAGCGTATGGTACACGAAAACAAGTAATTCAAACTTTAAATGCCTAGCTTTTGTGGTTTCCGAGATCGACATTGACGGACGGACGAACTGACAGAGGGACGGAGATGACTAAATCGACCCAACCTTCACATGCACCCACAATTAGAATCATAAAAATTTTAAAATAAATTCAATCTAATTGGCGTATGAAAATGCTTTAAAAAAAAGAGACCTAAAGCATAGAACGAAATAAATGTAAATTTCTTTAACAAGTTGTTGGAACAAGTCTTAAACTAGAGAAGTGATCGGAATATTACAACGCATAGAAGAAGGCATCTCAATGGCCAAATAGTATTCCTGATCAGTAGCAACAGACGAGTGGATATAGACATAATATCTGTGCAAATAAGACTCTTACTTTAAGAGCTATCGTCATGAAAAATTGGCTAGTTTCGTATTTTTGTTGTAGGCAATACATATGTTGGAACTGGCCGATTTGGACCAATATATCATAGAGCTGCTATAGGAACGATCGGCTAAATATAAAGCTCTTGTTTGAAAAACTTTTTTGTACATCAAGATAACTTGACTAAACTTAGCGTTTACTAGTAAAATGATGCTCCCTAGATATATGCCAAATATTATCTACATCGGACTACTGTATCATATAGCTGCCATAGGAAGAATCGGATAAAATTTAAGTTCTTGTATGAAAAGCATTGTAGATGGCATCAATATAACTTGACCGAACTTGCCATTTATCAGTAAAATCTTATCAACATCAAATCAATTAACTGTCAGAGGAAAGATCGGTCGAATATTATGTTATTGTATGAATTTTTCTTATGCTTACCAATATGTATTGAGTTTTTAGACTGCCTAGATTGTATGAAGAATTTTTTTGTTTATCAAGATATCTTGACCAACGTCGGCAAAAACTACGTTTTTGTATGGAAAATTGTTCAGCAAAACTACACAACCCTCCTCACACATCTATTTTTAATACCCTGAACCCATTAAAAATGGGTAAAATGTATTTGTGCAAATGTATGTAACAGGCAGAAGGAAGTATCCCCGACCCCATAAAGTATATACATATATTCTTCATCAACATCAACAGCCGAGTTGATCTAGCCATGTCCGTCAGTCTGTCGTATGTATGAATGAAAGGATCTCAGAACCTATAAGAGCTAGTGCCCGCGCAGTAAGAGATTGTTTCCGATAATCGATAACTTGACCCGTTTCCAAGAAATCGATCCAAATCGATATCGAAATCGTGATTTTTGAGCAAATCTCGTAAGTAATAAGAGCTGTAGCCACCAAACCTGACCTTTAGCTTATTGAATATTTTGTGCTACCCACTAATTTAAGGCACAACTTTAATGCAATTGACTTTTTGAGAATATACAAATATTCTATAGCACAATAAGATCTACTGTTGAAAATTTCATCAAGCACGCTTAATAAACACACGTGTTTTGGCTAGCCGCGTGTTGGCAGCAAATGTCTAAATTGCAAGAATTTCTGAATACATGTACACACACACTTTCATATGCGTCTTTATTGAATTTTATAAACAGCATTGCAATTGTATTTGTATTGTTTTCTGTGCTGCTATTTTAATTCGTTTTTCCCATTAAGACTGGGTTGTTGGTTTGCCTGTTGAGTAGAGGCGGTTGTTACGAGTGCGGTCTGTTACGAGTTCGAATCCTATCGAGGGAACTTTTCTTATTTTGAAATTTATTTTTATACCCTGAGCCCATTGAAAGTGGGTAAAAAGGGTATAATGTATTTGTGCAAATGTATGTAACAGGCAGTAGGAAGCATCTCCGACCCCATAAAGTATATCTATTCGTGATCAGCATTAATAGCCGAGTCGATCTAGCTATGGCCGTCTGTCTGTCCGTCCGTCTGTTCGTCTGTCCGTCCGTCCGTCCGTCCGTCCGTCCGTCCGTCTGTCTGTCCGTATGTATGAGCGCAAGGATCTTAGAACCTATAAGAGCCCGAGCCTTGAAATTTTAGCTGTAGGTCATCCTAGTGGCCGCGCAGATCGAGTTTGTTCCCGATATTCGATGACTTGCCCCGTTTCCAAGTAATCGATAAAAATCGATATCGAAATCCGGGTTTTTTAGCAAATTGGGTAAATAATAAGAGCTAGAGTCACCAAACTTGACATGTGGCTTCTAGAATAGTATATATATATATCAAGTATCCTTCATTTTATAGCTTTCGCCACCACCCCGTTACCACCACAAAGCTATAAATCATGTTAGTAAACCAATTTGTATTGCCTTACTAATTAAGCCACAATTGAAATGCAATTGTCATTTCGAGAATATACGAATATTTTATAGTACAATAAGATCTACTACTGAAAATTTCATCAAGATCAGTTAAGAAACACGAAAGAAAATATGTTTTGGCCTGCAAACAAGCGCAGCAGCAAGCGCAAATTCCAAGAATTTCTGAGTGAAATATTGAGTGAAAGAGATAGTGATGGGAACCACCGACCCAGTGGGGAAATTTATAGCCTGTCCGGCTAGCTGTTCCCCTACTCATAGCTGGGAATGGTCAGTGAGTTCCCGAAGGTATCCTGAAAGCAACGATTTTATTAGGGGTAGAAAACGTGGAGAAAACGTGATACTAACTATTATAATTTTTACATAGAACACGAAAAAATTGTGTAGGAATAAGGGGCGATAATTCCTGGTAGATTTACACGGAACAGAGAATTGAAGAAGACCAAGCAGAAAAGAAGAATCTATGTCGCCAACAATCAACTTATGTAGGAAGATAACACCGAGGATTGTCCTACGGTTGGTTAACGACGGAAGATCAAGAAGAAGAAGACTGCTGGAGAAGGATTTAAACCTCGTGAGGCAAAAAGTAGAAATTGCTTCTAAGCTGATTCAATACGATCCTGGCTATTGTTATACTGCGGAGACCAGATGCAAGAGCAGTATTCAAGGATAGGGCTAACAAGACAGATGTAAAGGAGTTTGGTTATGAAAGGCTCGTTAAACTCCTTAGACAAATGTTTAATCTATATGAAGTTTGAAGAAGAGTTTTGAATCAAAAAGAACACCTAGATCCTTAACTGTTAGTATACGTTGCAATAAAGTATTGACCATTGTATACTTGACGAGATAGATGAATTTGATGCCGAACACCAAAGTTGCATAGCGCTCAAATCATCTTGAAGACGAGAGTGATGTTGGGGATTAGTGTATGATAGAATAAGTTTCACATCGTCCGCATACATAAGTATATGGGCATGTGATATAACCGAGGGGATATCATTTATAAAAAGAGCAAAGAGTTAAGGACCAAGATGACTACCTTGAGGGACACCTGAAGTAACGTGAACCTGTTTTGAGGTAGTCAGCCTCAGCATTACTCTTTGGGTCCTACTTTTTAAATAAGAAGAAATCCAAAGCAAAAGAGGCGGACGCTTTTAACAATCGGGGCTGGATTGCGCGAAGGTCTACCTTTTCGACCAGAAGCTGACGTTGCTGAAGCAGCTTCACTGACTGGGTCAGGTTCTAATATAGGTTCTACTGGAACTACTCCAGGGGATACCACAGGGTTAATATTAGGACAATCGCTTGGAGAAGGCGATAATGACATCATTGGGGAGAATTGAATTTATATTTGCAAGGGTGTTAAATCTACAATCTAATTTTTCAAAACTATTAATATTTATATATTTTTTTGATAATAATTATACCTTTTTTTTTTATTTATTTGCCAACTGCTGAAAGTTTAGATGCAATTTATACAAATTGTTGAAATTATTTGAACTCCTAAAATCAATTAAAAATTAGTTTTGAGAATCGTTTCATCTACACCCTTGAGGATGCTTTTGCGGTACCTCGTCCTTGCCAGCGAGCCATGACCAATTCTCCGATGAAAACAAATCCTGCTGCGGCATATAATATTGCCAACAATTTCCAAACCCAGAGTAGATCCTCATTATTTAATGGAGCATGTGTAGACTCTGTATGTGAACTCTTTTGATCGATAAGCTGCTTCTTGGATGCCACCATGCTGCGCACAGAGGCCACTTGCCAGTGACGGGACAGACCGACTTCGTGTGTCCTATAAATAAACTCGTTAACAGCTTTTATGTAAATGGAATTCTCCTTCAAAATGCCCACAATGGGATAGCCATGGAAAATGGTCAGTCCTGGCGACGCGCAGAGGACATGCTTTTTGTAATTCTTCTGGTGACTATTCACGATATCCCACAACTTGCTGTGTGCCTGATAGGCATTGCTCGAGTTCAGGGCAAACATCATATCGTTGCGTTGATTGTTCGGCGTGAAAACAATATTGGGTATTTTGAAAATTTGATCTTTCATGTGCACATCCGTCACATTCGCAATGATTCTGTCGTATATGACGGGCAAGCCGCTTTCCGCCAGCTCCTCGAAGTTCTGGGCGTGTCGATAGCAGGGCCGCTTGGTCAGCAGAGAGCTCAGGTTGGCATTGAAATAACAGCCGAAAACAAGACTGAAAATGCTCATAACCATCAGGAACTGTCGCAGTGATGGGCTTCGATATCGACGCAAGCCAATGGGATGACCCAGCACCCCGGCAAATGAGTGCAGATTTATGAAAAATGTTGAATAGCCGAGGCACGAGCTGCGCCGCCAGATGTGCTGGCTGGCCAGCTTGAGCGTTGTTTCGATCAGCGCAAACAGAAAGTAGACGCCAAGCATCACAAAAAAGTAGGTTCTCATACTTCTATAAACATCACTTAATCTCATTTCCTGGCCGCAGGGCACGACAATAAATAATTGACTCATATCAACATAGGGCGTAGATTCTATGTTTAATGTGTTTATGCGTCCATGCATTGGGAAGTCCACTTCACCCTTCGATATCATTTTCTCAATACTGTGATTATCGATCCAAATACTCTCATTCTCAGCTCTTTGCAACCGGAGCTCTATGTTATGTTTCCGGGCAAACTCCCTTACGAGTCGAACCATGTGGCCGTCCAGGTACTTGCTGCCCGTGCGCTTGTCCGAGAGCAGATAACTGGACGGTGGAGAGAGACTGGGCACTGTTATGGCCACCTTTCGGCGGAAATCTCGCCAGATTGGAAATAAAAATGGTGCCTTAGTTAAATTACTGATAAGTTTAAGAGTTGCCTTTGGAAATGGTTGTAATCTATAGACAATTATCGAGTCTTCGAGAGCATACAAGCCTGTACGAAAAACCAAGAGGTTGATCAAACTATATTTCTCTGCCTGTTGGGTGATTATAGACAGAAATTCCTGTAGATCCGAGTCCATACTATGTAGCCACACAATGATTGGCGCCTCTCTCATGCGATGTAGATTCTGGGCCAAGGTGCTCAGCAGGGTGGCATCTCCAAGATCGGCCATGCAAACCAGAGCGAGGGCCTCGCTATTAAAGCGCTGCTTTATATTAATTGTGATTCGTTCATCTAGGCGAAGACTAGGTATTCCCATGGAATTGATATCCTGCAGAGGGCAGTTGCTGTCCTGCTGGCGTTTCATAAGCAACAGCGTATCCACGGATCTTTCCCTCTGAACTCTCTCAATGATGTTGTTGATGAAATTAGTTCCAAAATTTCCTGGTTCTGCTAATTCTGGAAAAGTGTTCAAGCCGCCAGCTACAAGCAGCAGCAGAAACAGGCTAAAGCTAAACGAACTAAAGGCCAACATTCTGGGCCAAGTATTAAGAACGAACTGAGACATGGCTAGGACATTTTACAGCTCCTAATAAGTTGTACATTAATCAAATTGCTTTGAAGTTCAGTTTAATCGAAGATTGTGGAGGGAACACGGGCTTTATACTCGGTGTCAAAACTCAGAGCATGTGAGATAATAATCAGAGTGTTTTTTATGACAAATTAAAACAAATAAGTGCCCGCTGGCAGATACTCTAAACGCAGCGTTGAGCCTTGTACATATGTACATATGCACACACATGTACAGTTTACGCTGCAGATATGCTGCTTCGTCCCTTGGCCCCAGACCTTCGGCACTTATAGTCAGCTTTTTCTTAAATTTTCTGGGTTTAAAAATGACTTAAAAAAAAGATCTAGGCCCTATCTGTGTCAAATTAGGATATTTGTAATTTCGAGCCGAACGAAGGAAGGTATTCAAACAGGAAAATATCCTGAATCTGCGTGTACTATACGAGCACCCACAATGTGTGTATGGCCTGTGTAGATCTTATAACTCTCGAGTTATGCTAAGGGAACAAATTGTCAAAATCGATTTTTATCGATAACAAAGCGAAACAAGATAGCAACAAATAAATATGAAATTAGTTCAGCGCATGGTACACGAAGAAATGTAATTTGTGTTTTCGAGATCGACATCGACGGACGGACGAAATTATGCAGGGACGGAATTGAGTGAATCGACTCAACTCGTCGTCCTGATCAAGAACATACATATATGCAGTTAATCGGGTGAAAGATGCTTTCTCAAAGTAGATACGTGTTAAATACATTTGCACGAATCCATTTTATCCATTTTAAATAAGTGCAGGGTATACAAACTTAGGTGCGACCCATAGTCCCCACTAAGCCACGAAGTATGCAATGAGAAGTGAATTGCATTACTTAACGAGGTCAAACTTTAATATTGTAGAAGACAAATGCCGCTTTCAAAGTAAAACACACGATTTATCTTGATACGTCTTCTTTATTCGACTGTTCGATCGCGACTGACTTCGCGTTTGTTTCATGCTTACAGACTAAAAGCGAATTGACAATAAGTTTATGTGTGTGCAAGCGAGACGAGGCGTGATTCGACTTGTCGAGCTCTTCTTACAAGAATTAGAGTGCATGAGGAATGTAAGCGCTTAAAACAAACGGGAGATTGTTGCCTAAATGTCCTTGAGAATGTGTCTATCTGTTTGTGTATGTACATGCATGTATTTGTCCTACTACAACTCATCCTGCGATCAAGATCCCCTGATCTCAGTTACTTTTTGTTTGAATATGATTAATTATAAGATTGTGCTTGTAATTGGTTTTCCTTGGCCGCTGGCACGCAAAACAGTAACCTGCCGTCGTTCGTTTTCCTATATATAGTTTTCTAAGGATATTTTCATTTCACATTTAACGATTGGATCATTTGGCTTTTTTGCGTGCATATACGTTTCCTCAAACATTTTTATGAACCGACATTTTATTCCATAGCTTAAATTTTGCCCACAGTTGTAATCCGGAAATTGATCATCTACTACATTTATGCAAAACATACCTTTGTCAAAATTCTCTTTCATAACATCATCTAAAATATGGTCGTTCTTAGCTTTTCTTCTAAAGTTGTCATTAACATATTCTCGTTCGTCGGTCGCATTATTTGATGACTTATTTGAAGAAACCGTTTCGTTGTGCATTGTTTTCTTCATAATTTTCTGATCGTCTAACAGTCGCTCACTAACAGCTGCAGTTTGATCACTTAACAGTTGCTAACTAACAGTCTGGTCTCTTAACAGTTGCTCACTAATAGTCTGGTCTCTTAACAGTTGCTCACTAACAGTCTGGTCTCTTAACAGTTGCTCACTAACAGTCTGGTCTCTTAACAGTTGCTGTTTATTGCCCCCTTCCTGTATTTCATCATTTATGTCTTCGGTTTCCTTAGCCTCAATCAAGCTTAGAATTATGGAATAGGGTGTCTAGAATTATGCTCAGACCACATGCATTCATGAAATCCCTGGGTTACCCGCTCTTGCCTTCGAAGAACTATGTTGGCAAACGCATGATGCATCTGCTCAGGATTAGCGAAACATTGAATCCGGGCTTGGTCGCGCAACGTCTCGGAGGGAACTCCCTCGATGATTTGTTCTAAGAGTTCGTCTTCGTCCATATTGATGGTATCGGCTAGCATCATCTTGTCTTCAAAATACATCGCAAATTTTTCGTGTATTTGCCGCTTGCGTTGTTCGAACTTGCGTCGCATGTCTGATTTTGAAATTTTTTCTTCGAAAGCCGCGATCAGCTGGTTGCTCAATGTTCCTATTGGCTCCAGAATGCGCGTTGAATTGGAATGCAATCAGTGTTGCGCTTTTCCTTTCAGCTTTGTCGTAAACAGCATGCGCAAGTAATTGTCGTCTAAATCATAGATTTGTGCAATGTTTTTAATATGATTGACCCACATGCGTGCGCTACCGCTTCCATCGAATTCTAACGTCGCCTCTTTCGCGATTGTGATTGTTGCAGCTGATCCGCGATTTGATGTAGTTTTATCTCTTTCACGAGTTTGTAGAGTTTCTGCAGCTGTTTCAATGCCAGCGCTTCCGTCTCTGTCTCGACATTTGTTGTTGGCAACGCCGTTATCGTTGTCTCTGCTCTGGCTTTCGCTGCTGGCGCCGCCGCTGTCGCCACCGCTGCCGTTTGCCGTTACATTTTGCTGCTGAATTTGCTGTAGCGCAATTTTGCTCGCATTTGCTTCACTTTGTAATTGCCTAATTATTTCCATTAGTTCGCCTATGTGTAAATTATTTTGGGCTTCTGCTTGTTGCTGCGTTGTCAATGCTCCGATCTGGCCGCTTTCCATATTCTGCTGCTGCACGACATCTATGCTGTTGCTCCTTGGTCGTGCCTGTCTGTTCCCCAAGCTAGCTGATTCCAGCATGTCCACATCGTCAGCGTCTAAACCCGGGGCACTGCCGCGTACACTCGGTGCGAATGTGTTTAGACGAGCAATCAATTCCGCCTTGCTTCCTGTCGTCGGTGCTCCTAAGCCAGATAGCCAATTTTTCAATTGGATGACCGTGAAAATGTTCAAATCCATTTTTTGCTAGGTTGGACCACTTCTGAATTTGTAGAAGACAAATGCCGCTTTCAAAGTAAAACACACGATTTATCTTGATACGTCTTCTTTATTCGACTGTTCGATCGCGACTGACTTCGCGTTCGTTTCATGCTTACAGACTAAAAGCGAATTGACAATAAGTTTATGTGTGTGCAAGCGAGACGAGGCGTGATTCGACTTGTCGAGCTCTTCTTACAAGAATTAGAGTGCATGAGGAATGTAAGCGCTTAAAACAAACGGGAGATTGTTGCCTAAATGGCCTTGAGAATGTGTCTATCTATTTGTGTATGTACATGCATGTATTTGTCCTACTACAATATTCTGGTATATTTTAAGTAGTTTGTAATTTGTAGAAATTAATCTTCATTAATTACCTATTGCAGCGTTAACCTAACACAATTGTTTTTGTTTTTATTCATGTGTCTAAATGTTTTACATGTTTTTGGCGTGCTAAATGGTATCTAGAAAGCGATAAGCTACTCGGCACGAGTGCTATATAAGGCCTGTGCTGTGCCACCTGACTAATTAGAAGTCTTTTTTTTTCGGAGCTGTTAAATGATATCCCAAGCGATTTTTAGATTCGGGCACCCTGGACTGGCAATATGATATCGGTTACACAACTATGGTGAGATTAAAGGAAATGTAACTATAATAGCTATAATTCAACTCATTATTTTTGAATGCTTGACAGGATTCCTTGTCCTTACCAAAGAAACCTGTCTTGAACATGGTATACGATGATTTGCTATATCCCAATATTCACCGCTGTTCTAATATGCACCGATTTGAAGGAGATATTTTGCAACCGTGGACCAGGCATATGTACAAATGCTTAATTATAGGTGAACGGTTTATATAAGGTTAAGAGATCATTGGACTCGGTTTTAGTTATAATATAAAATGTAAAATAGAGGGGAGCTGCACTGCGTTTACGATGGGCTATCGTGCCTGGTGCTGCCTAACTGAGCAGGAGTTACTTTTGCTAAAGAAGCCCTTATCTCAACTGGGAAGTCAAACTCTCAGCCTTCTGCCCTTTGCTGGGCGCATTCGAATAGAATGTGCATAGTTGGCCTCGCCCACCTTCCAGCCGAGAGGCTCTCTTGCCAGAGATTTTCTGATTTAGCGGAAGTCTACGGGATACCACAAAAGGCCTCTAGAGGGGAACCTGATCTGGCTCTTGTGGGCTCGTCCGCTTTTTCCTTGCCAGACAGAGCTGCTGCCGAGCTGCCAGGATATGCATATTAAGCCCTTTATAAATAAATATATATATTATTGAAGTTAAATCAAATGCCATTTCCAAGTATTGCTACTTATCTATGTAATTCTATTTTCAGTTAATAATAATTCACGTAAATAATACTTCAAAGAAACTGTACGGAAACAAACGCAGTTCCGAGTATTTCAAATTTGAATGGATATATTTTGAATAGATTCGAAGAAAGAGGAGCATCTCGCTTTTGAATAAGTTAAACTAAATAACAAACCAAGCAAAAAAGCAAAACAGCAAAAGGTGCAGAGCATAGCTAGTAATATTACGTGAAATGCAACTAAGCCCAGATTAAATTTTCCCTATATTATGTTCATTCCATTAGAATAATGTTGTCCTTATCCTTGAAACAAAAGTCACGCTCCACTCGACCTCGCCAGTCACGATGATCTTAATCTTATAGAAACCATCCATTAGTATTTCAGGGAATAATCCATTTCTGAAGTCACACATATGAAATTTGTACAGATTCCTGGGCCATGGAAGCAAAGCATCCCCTTCAAATCGGGGCATATTAGAACAGTGTTTAATATTGGCATATAACAGATCATCGTATATGGCCTTTGTAGTCGCAAGAGGTCTCTTTGGAACAGCGAAGGGGATCAGTCGGTAGTCACTTTCGCTGCCGCTTGAGCTGCGAAAGATCTGTACCTCAACCTGTCAAGTATTCAACAAAAATGATTTGAATTATAGCTAATGAAGTTACATTTCCTTTAATCTCACCATAGTTGTGTTATCGATATCATATTGCCAGTCCAGGGTGCCCGAAAAGCCAACTTCGTAGCGACCCACGCGTTCTACACGAAAATCGGGCTTCAGCTTAGTCTCATCTGAGCTGTTGCCGGTAAGGAATATCGGGTCGTAGTCCCAATTACGCTATCCAAGTACGAGTATCCTGATTAACTGTGCACAGTTCAAATCGATTTGAAGATTTACTTACTTTGCCCTCACAGCCCTCAAGTGCCAGAAGCAGCAAACAAAACTTTCTAAAAATCGATTGGGATACCATTTAACAGCTCCGAAAAAAATACTTCTAATTAGTCTGTTGGAACAGCACAGGCCTTATATAGCACTTGCAGTAGCTAATCTTTTCGCTAATAATACCCTTTCTAAATACCATTTAGCACGCCAAAAACATGTTAAACATATAGACACAAGTATAAAAACAAAAGCAATTGTGTCAGGTTAACGCTGCAATAGGTTATTAATGATGATTAATTTTTACAAATTACACACTACTTAAAGTATACTAGAATATTAATATTTGACCTCTTAGAGTATTGCAATTCACTTCTCATTGCATACTTCCTGGCATGGTGGGGATAATGGGTCGCACTTTACTTTGTATACCCCGAACTCATTTAAAATTCTTAAAATGGATTCGTGCAAATGTATTTAACATAATTCTACTTTAAGAAAACATCTTCTGTTAACTGTATACACCCAATCGATCTCTCAGATCGCTTTATATAAACACCCCTGTAAATTTTGTATGTTAGACTTAACAGTAGAATAAGATGTATTGTAAATATTCATATAAATTTAATTTAAGTTGTTCCCATAATTACAGTAAAATTGAAATAAAGCAAACAAAAATGTAAATGTACAGTTAACTGTATATATGTTTTCTATCAGGAGGACGAGTTGAGTCGGTTTAGTCTGTGTGAACGTATCGATCTCGAAAGGCTAAAAACTTGAAATATTGAACTAAATATTCTCGTATATGATGCGCACATTTAGTTTACTTTTTTTTGTTCACATTTTGTCCCATTCAAATTTATAGTGAGAGTTGAGTCTTAATCATTAATTAATTAGATTTTTCTATATTTCAAGAGATGAAGGTATTTTTGTATTGAAATTTAGGATTTATTTTTATCTGTCAGATACCAACAGGTGCTGCTGGGTAGTCTGGATCGTCTGTTTTAAAGAAATTTAAAAATTAATGCCTCGAATCACCTGTAAATGCGTGGGAGATTTCGTTGAATCTTTTGCTTATTTTGTGATTCGTTCAGTTTTCTCTTAGTTTCAATTCGCATCGTTTCGTTTAGCTTATACGCGTGTACATGTGTTTTGGTCGTTCTCTTTGCGTGCTAGGCGCTCTCTTTGTTTCATTTCCCTGAGTGAAATGCTCAGTTAATCCGCTGAACGCGTTTCGTTGCATTCCGTCGTCTCACTTCGCTTCGTTTAGTTTATCTGTTTGGAGCTCGTTAGGTTTCATATTATACGATTCGTTGCTGTTGCCGAGCAACTCTTGACGAGAACGGACGTGTTTTTCTTCGCAGCGGCAAACACAGCGAGCACAACGAAAGAACAGACAGCGATTAATACAAAACACGGTAACGTAAAAGGATAAAAAAGAAGTGCAAGAACGTTAAACAGAACGCAATATTAATATAATACTTTCTTAGAACGAACGTGAGTTGGTTTTTGTTGCTCTACAAATTCGTTGTAAAACAAAAGTGAATATAAATCGGGAAACATGTTTAATTTTATTTTATGTTACACGTTTTAGTTTTGTGTTTCTTTTTAAGTTGAATTCGTACAAAATGCAATTGAACATAAATACAAATTATTTAACGGGGCGCGTGTGCGGTACATAATAATAATAATAATAAAACAGAAAGCAATAAAGACAATCAAATAATTATAATACGAGTATATGACAAGCTTGAGAGCTTCACGTGCAGCATAAGAAATCGTGATAACACACACACAAACACACAGACAGGCAGCATCAGCAGCAGCGGCATCAGTATTTTGTTGTTGCTGTTGTTGTTCTTGTCGTGTGCACGCTCAGTCGCCGTTAACATCGTGTGTGTTCCCGCAGCATCAGCAGCAGCAGCAACAAAAACAAACGAGCAATTTTCGTGCGTCGACGGCGCTGCTGCCGGCTGCTGCAATTATGTGTAGCAGCAGCGACTTTTTAAATAAAAGGTAGACAGCAAAAACAACAACAAGACCAACAGGCAGAAGCTGCCGCTGTCATAGCCTCTGCCTCAGTCGCTGTCGCTGTCTCTTGCATGCAATTAATGTACACAGTTTTTTTTTGCATAAATAAATAACAACAACAACAGCGCATACAATTTGTGTGTTTTTGCCGGCAGACGCTCTCGAGCGACGCCGCCCCAAAGGTCGTTGGCGCTAAGGTCACAGTCAGACAGCGCGCGAAAGAGTGAGCGAGCGTAAGAATTTGGTGTTGCAAGTGTGACATAAAGGAGCGCAACAACAACAATTGAAGCTCTTTACGGCGGTTGTCGCGCCAACAAAACGGTAAATCTGCAAAACGCGTGTGTTTCGAGTTTTTAGATAATATAAAACATAAATTCAGCAACAATCAACACCAATAGCAGTCGCTGCCAACGTTAACGCAGCTTCAAAATTTCATGGTAAGTGCCGCTACTTTTATTTCCCTTTTGTCCTCTGCCTTATTCGCATTTGTCGTTGTTATTGTAAATGATTTGCAGTCACCTTCGGACTAGGGCTACGCTGCTTTCTAATGCTGTGCTCTCTGCCCAACCTTTGCTCTCGCACACTCACTCTCTCACGCTACCTCTCTCTGTGCGAGCGTCGCATTTGAGGATATTCCTAATCCGTTTTATTGATTGCAGGCAGCACAGCTGGAGTGCTCTGCCAGCATTGCGTGGCTAAGTATGTGTGTATGTGTGTGTGTGTAGTTGTTGCTTTTGCTGGCAATCTGTGTTGTTTTTTACTTCTTCTTTGGCCACTACTCATTTGGGGTTGTTGTTGTAGCTATAAAATGTGAGCCTGCTGCGCTGCTGCTGGCTGCTTTGCTGCTGACTTTGCTTTTCCTAGTTTTGTCATTCCCATGTTTTCATCAGCTGCCGTCGCTGCTGCTGTGCTGCTTCGTGGGTGAAGTTTGCCGGCGCAACGGTAAAAGCTTTATCTACCTCTTCTAGTTATTCGTATGTTGTATTATTACTGTTGTTATTGTTGCTCTCATACATTTTGGCTGCACAACAACAAAAACCAAAAAATAACTTTATCAAAAAATTAAGAGAAATATGCGAAGCTGCTGCCCCCGTTGGGCATAACTCAATAATCACATCAAATGTCTCACTAACCACAGCAGCAACATCAGCGGCAACACCTTGCAGTGTCTGTGGCAGAGGTGTGTCCGCCCTGGACGTGAATGCGGCTCCTTCTTGGCCAGCTAATGCCGTGGCACATCTGCGCGCCATTTAAGTCGCTGACAAGTGTTTTGCCGGCATGTCCGGAATGCGTCCGACTCGCAGCAGCAGCAGCAGCAGCAGCCGCAACGGCAGAAGCAGCGCAAAAAGTGGCAGCCAACATTGCTACCAATTATGCGATAAGCAGTCGCTGCCTCTCGGCCAACTTTAAGCCACGGCAACAGTGGCAACAGAAACTTTACTTAAAGCCTCGGCAAATACTACGTGCAATTCCGCGAGCATCAAATTGTGAGTGCAATGAATAAAATACAACACTCAAATATTCATTCTGTGAGTAGTCCGTATACAAAACATAAAGTCAACCAATTTGACGAACTGTGAATACGCTTTTTTACAATGCAATGCCAGTTATAAGCAAAATTTACTTAAATATATTTGTGGTGATCTTAGGTTTATGAAGTAACTCGTTGATAACATAAGATTAAGATATTCAAAAAGGAGAGTTGAGAAAGGAGTTAGCTGAGAAAATTATTAATTTGTCTATTTGAGTTGCGAAAAACCTTTTCCAATAAATTAAATATTGTGGAGTCTTGCTCAAAGCTTTCCTATTTATAATCAACTCAATTTTTAAATTATATTCGACTTTCGATTCGGCTTTTTTTAAGTTCAGGTTTACAGTTAGAACTAAAATCGAATTTTGTGTTTGAACCTTTTTGATTTTAACTTGGTTTGCAGCTGTGCCAATTGTCATATAAAAGATTTGCAGTGATATTTTCAAATGGAAACTTTCTTTAATTAAAATCAGCTGGAATAGAAAATTCCTTTCTGAGTTTAAAATTATGTGTGATCAAGAGTTTTCAAAGTATCATAAAAATTGAACTCTTTAAATTTAAATAGAGCTACAAAAATGTAAAGAAAAATGTTATTCATAACTTTTAGAAAACCTAAGCCTCGAGGAAGTTTTAAATATATTAGGTGCTTTCAATTTTTGCTTTTCTTTAATCAAAAATTATAAATATTAAAGTACAAATTAAATAAAAGTAAAATGAAATACACAAGCTGCAAAATAAGTTACCCAGTTAAATGTACGTTAAGCGCAAATGCCTTCATCGGCAAGTGTCTTATTAAAGTAATTGGGCCACATTTGCAAAGGGTATATATATATATGTATGGCAGTAATAATGAAAATGCGCCTGGAAAAACTAACAAAAGGCCGCGTGCGCGCTGCCATCAAACGAAACGAAAAGCGTGCAGGCGCGGCAACAACTACAACAGCAGCAGCAACAACTGCAACAACTGCAACAACAACAATAACAAGAGCAAAGGGAATGACCTTATGTATTGCAAAACTGCAAGGCAAACAAAGAGCCGCTAATGGGGCGCGGCGGGGAGCGGGTGGGCTTTGCAGGGACGTTGCATGATGCTGTGTTGACGCAGAGATCAACGCTGCCCCAAACCGGTCGCTAGGCCTCTGCCTCAGCCAGTGGCTCAGCCTGTGCCTGTGCCTGTGCCTGTGCCTGCGCCTGGGCTACTGCGGGGCAATTGGGCCAAAAGCATAAAAATCAGTCAAGAGTCGCCTCCGCGCGGTGGTACGTTGCGAACATTAAAAGCGACAAACAAACAAACAGACGTACAGGTCCTGGCAAAGCGCAGTTGGGGCGGGCCGGGGCGGCAGCTGGACCCAAAAGGCGGCACTGGCCCAAGCGTAGCAGCAGCAGAAATCGATTTTCTCGCAAACTTGGCCAGAGCCCCGTCCAGGCTGGGCCAGTCAGCCGCAGGGCTTGAAACGCGCGCATTTTTCGGCCTCTTTCCCTTTCTCCCGCTCTTGTAAACGGCCCCCATATCCATTTGGCGCTGACCGAGCGGCTCCTCGAACGAGTAATGGATACGGGGTGTCCAGCCTGGATACAGGCGTGCGCTCAATGTTGATGATGATGCGACCGCCGGCCGGCAGCGGCAGCAGCAGCCGCAGCAGCAGCAGCAGCGGCAGCAGCAAAATTGCAAGTCAAACTGTCGTCGCTCTGCGTTGTTTAGTTGTTTTATGCCACGTTGTTGCGCCACGGCCATTGGTAATTGCAATTGCAATTTGGCCTAAGCCACAGCAACAGTGCCGGGCAGACGGACAGCCCAGTCGGACGGACAGACAGTCACTTGGCAGATGAGCTCTGCTGGGCTGGCGGCTGTGGGGAGCTAAAAGGAGGTAAATCTGCAAATTGCATTCGCTAGTTGCCTCAAACAGTGCCTCGCAATGGTTTATTTAATTTGTGTTATAAATAAATTTGTTAATGCTATAATTCCGTTGCACAACACTCTGTATCTGTGTGTGCAGTGTGTGTGTGTGCGTGTGTGTGTGTTTGTCTGTGTGTTTATTCCTTTGGCAGTCACTGATTTATCACTAATTGAAATCATCTCAACTGGAGCCAAGCCCTAAGCACAGCAGCAGCAATAAAAGAGAACCAATAAGCTATATTTCCGTGCCGAACATTTAATACTCTTGCAGACCAATTTATATTGTGCTACATAATATTTCCCATCGAAGCCATGTGCTACAGTAGCTCGATGTTGATTAGATTTTTATAAAATGCTAGGTTAATTTGTGGTTGGTTGGGGAATCAAAAAAAAAAACGAACGATTTGTCATGCCCGAACTTATATTTTAAAAAGTTAGTTCTAATTAGTTATATGATATAAAGATCTAATCTGCAGACTTGTACAGAAATATGTACTATATGCAGCATAAGTTTAGATTTATTTCAAGTTTGAGCTAATATTTTTCAATTATATTTTTTTGCTTAGTAATCTAAATTTGGAAAATTCAAATTTTTTCACAAAAAATAACAAGAGAATTAAAAAAAAATTAAATAAGAAAATCAAAAAAATTGTATGGTTTATAAAACATAATAAAATATCTTGTTTATAATAATTAAATTAAAAAATAAAATAAAATAAAATATATCATTTTCTATGTTTATTACAAATTTTACAGTTTAGTTGTTTCTTAAAGACAAAGATAAAGTAAATAAAGATAAAGAAATAAATAAAATTGCATTATTTTTAAATAATAAATATATTTTCCATACGAAAGCAATCTGATATTTTCTTGTTTATTATATTGTATATTATTTTATTTGCGATCGTATATCTTATTCTTAATGCTTTGATTATTTGTTTTTCACTTTGAATGATAATGCCTAATTGTGTTGCACACTTGATGACAAGTTTATAACGCCTGGGCAGCTACAAGGGCATAAGGACAACTAAATTCTCGAAAAGTACAACATAATCTCAGCCAGAAACAAACTCAAACTGAATGCTTGCCACAAAAGGCGGCAGCCAGTGATGGGCGGGCCGTAAGTATGTGTGTTTGTATATTTGTGTGTGTGCATAGGCCTAGACACGCAAAGGCAAAATTTGCATGGACCGTAGACCGTTCAGCAATTACCGCTGCTACTGCGTGGCACATCAATAGCAGTTGTTGTTGTTGTTGTCGCAGTTGTTGCTGTAGTTGTTCTTGCTGGTGTTGTTGCTGTTGTTGTTGCTGCTTGCAGCCTTTGCCACCTGCTTGTCTGGTAAATCTGTTTGTTGGCCTAGCTGCGTGTGTGTTCCGCTGGCTAAAATGACGTGACTGTCAATTGAGGGGCGCGGCTAGCTGAGCTGCATTTGGGGGCGCAGGCTGCTGCTGCCTCTGCTGCTGCTGCTGCAGTTTTTCTCTACTCCAAGCCACCCCCCACCCGCTGCTTGTCTGTTTTTTTTTTTCAAGTAGTCTGCAGCGACACCCAACCAGTTGACGTTGTGGATTCTTGCCTTGGCCTGCACTCGACTTTTGCACTGATTTTTTTTGTTGGTGTTTTCTTTCTGTTTTTCCTGCCTTGGCTCATCAGCAAAAACAACAAATCAACGCGGCAGCGGCATCAATGACAGAACAACAAAAAGCAGCAGCAACAACAAACAAACGACAACTGGAACGACATGATTTTGTTGCATGGGGCAGCCATCCACCAGGCGCACATCATCCATTCAAAGTTTGAGGAGCTGCTGCGTTGGATTTTATCATTGGGGTTTTCTGCTCGTTGTGTCCCCATTTTGATCCTCTTGTTGTTGTTGTTGTTGTAGTTGATTTTGCTTTAATTATTGTTCCGTTTCGTCTGCCATTTGCAGCACTTCTTTTTTGCGTGTTTTTCATTTATTCCTTTTATTTTTTCGGTTTTCAATTCGTTTTACTTGAACGTTTCCCAGGAG